ATCTTTATGTTAGAATATTTTATGAATATTCTCTTTCTTGCATTGTCTTGCTGAACCCGTTACTTGTCCAAATTGTACCCAATGTCTTTTTCTATGAAAAATAGGAAACATGTTTAACGCATATCTGTATATGTATATATACATATAAACACTTGTATGTGTATGTGTATGTGTATCTCCATATATACACATACATGTATCTATATCCATAGCCCATGCCTTCCTGTTTCCAAGCCTAGGGCACTTTCCATTATGCTACCCTGCCTCTTGCTGTTAATTGTAATTATAATAGAAGTTCAGAGAAGGCAATTACTAGAGTGACTATAAAATGCAAAACTTGAGGTGGATAGAGCACTAGATTCGGTGGAGTCAGTCAAAAAATGAATTGAGTTGCTTCACAGGTTTCCTGTCATTGTAAGCACTCAAATGGGGGTTGAATGACTTCTGGTAATATTGTAAAAATAATTTAGTGTTTCAGGTGCGGGTTGAATCTCCGAGGTCCCTCTCAGACACAAAGCCCTACAATCCTAGTGACAGTATTTAATGTTTACTGAATTGAATTCAGTGTGAAACATTGCTACTTCTGGAGTGTTCTGGAAGAAGTCTTTGCCAAGTGAGGTGTTGGGATAGGGGGAGGGGATAATCTATTAAGCTACTAGACACCATTAATATTTGTTTGAATTTTTGTTAGAGATGAGAACTCTAATTCTAGACAATTTTGATGGGGGGAGGAGGGGAAGGTTTGGCTGTAGTATGAGGTATGACCCGGGAAGGGCAGGCTGGGATGAGGCTGAGGGGCTTTGGGTAGCCAGGGGGTAACATGAGAATAGTAGATGACAAGGAGTGGAATGAGAAGGGGAGCAAAATGGGTTAGGTCACATAAAATGGAAGAGGGATACTACCAAATAAGAAGTTTGCCTTTCTTTACCATTTTATCAAGGATGGCATTGAGGAATAGGATTAGGAACAAACTGGAGTTAAGCATATAGGGGGAAAAAATGATCCAGGTTTTCTTGTGGAAGCCAATCTGTGATTTTCTTCTAGGGTCAGCATACTCCATTCTAACTGCAATAGGATATTTTCCCGAAGTCCCCTGTGATGATGGGCACTTTTTATATATTTCAATGAGGAAGAAGGAGAGAAGCAAATGTGGCCTGTCACATTGGTCTCTGTTTTGTGAAGATAATCTACATTTGTTTTTCATCCCTAAAAGGGAACTATCTTTTGGGAAGCTCAAATATTTGTTAGGTAGAATTTTTAAACATTGCCCGAATACTCAATAATTTTTTGAACAACTTTTGTAGAAAATGGAACTTTATTGCAATTAAAAAAAGACAAAGACAATTTGATAATAATGTCTGTAATTATAACGTACCAGCTATTTACACATAATTATACTTATGTACAGGCATGAATAGAGGTTCATTACATGTAACTTTTAAAGTTACATGGCAAACTCCAGCAATTTGTGAAGTCACAATTTAAATGTTTTTAGTAGAAATAAGCTGAAAAATACATATTTCACTTTATTGGGTACCACTGTTGAATGATATATCGAGGTCTGAGCAAAGAAGTGAACAATATGCATCAATGTTAAAATTATCCTCACAATGAGCAGCAGTATTAACACCCTAAATAGAATCAATAATTGGTTCATTAAAAACAAAATATGCCTTCAATTTGTATAGCACCTTTCTTTCAAAATATTCAAAGCATTTCACATTTATCTCACTTGCCCTCATCATATCCTGGTGAGGTAGGCAGTGTTAAGTATTATTATCTCCATTTTGCACATGGAGGAACTGAGGCACATAAGTTAATTGGTTTGTCCAAGCAAGTCAAGAGTTGTCAGTGATGTCCTGGACTCATGACTCCAAAACCAATACTTTATCAACTACAGAGCTGTTGCCTCCTCTTTGAAATTGATGAAAGATGCTATTTTACATTACTAGAAAAATAGAAAAAAAACTATGCATTTTCCTCTTTTCACTGCATATTTCAGACTGATATTACACTCATGCAGAAACTGATCAGGGAAGTACCTTTTTTTTGGTAAAGATTTGAGTTTATTCTTTTTGTTTTTTTAAGTAAAGAATGTTGAAATGACTTAGCCCTAGGAATTCCTTGAAAGGATGTTTCTAGCCACTCACAACTTATTGTGACATTATGCCATTCATAAACCAGTCTTTCCCCAGGGTAAAAAGAAATGGAAATGACTAATTTTATTTATAAAATTATTGATTTAGTGACTTAGTCTATAGTTTTAATTACCTCATACACATTTATGCATTACAAAATCTTGGAAAGGTAGAAAGGGAATTGGGAAGATTGTTCCATTTTCCTGATGGGTAAACAGAGGCATATAATTGAAATCATCTTTTTCTTTTTCAGGAGGCTAAACACATAATAGCTACTTGACAAAGTTACTAATTTGAAAAAAAAATTAGTTACTAATTTAAAAATTAGTTACTAAATAAAAAGTTAGTTAAAAAAGTTACCATTTTGAAAAAAATGTCTAAATGTGCTAAATGCAAAGTGAAAAACTCAATACTTATTAGATCTTGATAGAATGTAACCTCTTTGAAGGCTGGGACTATTTCCACTCTTGGGTTTGTATCTTCAGTTTCCAGTGCAGTCCCTGAAACATGTGGTGCTCAATGAATGCTTGTTGATCAAATTTTAAATAATGACTAAATTTAAAATAATTAGTAATGGGCCCAGGAATTCGAACCTAGAATCCAAGAACCTAATAAGAGCCTAAGAAACCTTTTGTGTTTCTAGAACCTATTTTTATTTTCCTATAGAAAAATATACCCATAAGAATCACCTGCCATTGTTTTTGTAGAATAGATAACTATGCCACCTGCCTGTGTAACGCTAGAGAAGATTAAAAAAAATTTTTTTTTGGTAGTTTTAAGAAGGAAAACTTTAGGGATGGGTGATAAATATCCTAAATAGCTTAGGTATTTAATAAATATGTGGAGACTTGTCCAAGAAATGTTCAAATTCCTTTTGGTTTTTCACTATTTTCATCTAGTGAATGGAGTTGCCATCTCTCAAGGGAGGTCTTTTTTACTGCAATGCCATTTACCAGGAGGGACAACTTAGGATAAAAGAATCACTTCATACTAAAAAGCACTAGGTATTATTTTTATATATACTCAGTTCTGTAATCTATGTTGTAAGTGTGTGTGTGAGACGGTGGGGCGTTAACAAAAGAAAACCAAGTCATTAAGATAGGTAGGGCTCCTATAGTTTTAACTTGCATTCTTGAGGGGTCAAAAAGTTTCTTCCTTTGAGCATTAATTATCCTTTAGAGCATATTAGATTATATAATTACTATATAGGTGAGGTTTTTTTTAAAGGAAATGGATGTAATGTAATAAATTGGAACACTTTTTTTTCCATCTGAAATTTTCTTCTACATCTTGACAGTCTTTCATGTATGTAGTAGGGGTTTAATAATGCTTACTGTATCAAGTTGAATTATGAATTATAATCAGTTATTATGGTATAAAAAAGGCAAAAAAAATCTCATGAGAATCAAAGGCAAACTGTAGTATTATACATGTTGAAAATTGCAGTCATTAGTACTATGTTATCGACTCATCTGAATCACTAATTAGAAGTGTCTGGAATTTGATTTTCAAGGTCAGGTAGCTCACACATAATCAGTCAAGTTTCCTCCAATGCCTCACTCGTTCCCTAGTTAGACACAATAACAATTTCAAGCTTCTGGCACAGGTGGGTGCAGGGAGGAGGGGATAAAGCCCAATTAATTATAAATACAGCAGCTTGGTAAATCACTCTTTTCTTGAGAATGTGTTCTTTTCCTGGTAAACCCGTGTGAATATTTTAAAGGAACAAAAGGATTATGTTTATACTGCTAAAGTTGGTGTGCTTCTGGGCACATTTGCCATGAAGTTTAGGATTAGAAATTACCAGACCTGGAAGGGAATTAGTTGACAATACAAACCAAGTTTTGAGTACTAATGCTGGATGCTATTCTGTTATTCAAATGTATTCTTAACAAGAATGATGTCTTCAACAGATCAGTCAGTACGGCAGCTTCTTATGGAACTTTGGAGAGCAAAAAGGATTTCCTGGTGTAGTGCTGGTGCCAGTTAGATACCTAGGACAGCTCACAGTGCCAATGAAGTAAAGATTGGGAGTCTGATCTCTCAATGGGTTGGTCAGTCAACAAGCTTTTATCAATTGTTTAGGTGGCAATATAAGCAATCCCAATAAACCTCTTTCAAGACCATAGACAACCAATCTCCCATAAGGAAGTGTAGGTAAAGAAGCCTGACTGGCTGAATGATATAGGAAAAGCAACTCAAAACTCATTCTACAGATGATGGGCTAGTGCTATCATCATTTTAAACAGCAGATGTCACATGGTTCAGTGAAACAAGTGCTATACAGGTGCTTTACTCTTCCAAGTTCTCTAAGGAATGTCTCACCATTGGCTTGTGAAGACCTTACATTTTGGAGCTGTGACTGATGCTGAAAATTTTTGAGTGGAACCATAAGTGTTTGGCAGTCCTCATTATGGTGGAAGGATTGAGAAGAGCCATGTGAGTCACGCTGTACAAAGCAAAAGAGGGCTGCCACTGTAAGCTGAGGCAAAAAGAATAATAAAAACATTGGAGCAGATATAGTTATCTTTCACCATAAAATTTAGGTGTGGGATTAGTGATATAGTTTCTCACTATTTTATGAATCTCATAATTTTAACATTATAAATACTTTCTTAGACATTCAGGAAAGAACTCCATAAGCACCCCAAGTTACGTTTGCACAAGAAAAATCCTTAAAAATCAGTGGGGATTATATAGAAGACAGCATAACTTTCTAGTGATCAACTTTCACAAGGAAAACTGCATGAATAAGGAATGCAGAGGCATTCTTACTTATATTTCTGTCGCTATCACTATATTTTGTTCTACTTGCATCTTATGGCCCACAAAAACATAAAACATGTAAAACCTATACAATCATTTAAAAGGTAACACAGAAGCATTTTATTTCTGTAGATTTGAAACACAGGAGTCTGAGGAATGGTAATTACCAGCCTTTTGAACACATTACATTGTGTGATGAGACAAGTAGAGCATAATACATCTTTGACAAATACCCACGGTGCACAAGCAGCATACTGCCAAGCAAAATCTAATCTAATTGTACTAAGAGAAGATAGTACCAAGTTGGCTGATAACTGAGAAGTACCACATGACTGCAGATCTCTTTTCCTGTGACATTTTGAAGGGATCTGGGAGACTGGTTTAAAAAAAAAGCAACATTAGGAAAAGCCATCAAACACTTTACAAATCTCTGTGCCTGGATAAAATGAAGGACAGGGATAATGAAGCTTCATTTGCACATTTACAAAATGTGAATATTCTTCTCTTCATCCTTTTTTTCCCCTAGTGTATTCTGATAATACTGACTGGTTAACTCCAGTTTATCATGATTTTCTGGACTGTTCTCTCATCATTCTAATCTTAGCACTTTGGGTTATTCTATTGGCTAGATTTTGTTCAAACCATCTAATGGCACAGTGAGGTTTAAAGCATTTACAGAAAGTTACAGTACAAAACAAGAAGATATTACAGCAAAATTAGGGTTTCACCATAAATAAAGGCCATACTATATTTATAGACGTGTTCCTATTTTCACATAAGTCACTTAACACTGAACATTATATTTTAACCCTACAACCCCCAATTCCCCAAAAGCATTGTACAATAAACTTGTCAAGATATCCAGGAAATAACCATCAGTACCTACTGGGCTCTCAGCAGCCAATGCTAATCTGGTGGAGCAGCACACATCAACAGTTTGAGAAGAACAGTATCACTATAACACACTGAATGAGACTGACTATTACATGAAGGACTGAAAGGAAATCTTGGCATTTACTCATTTACAAAATTGCAATTCAGTCTTGATGTGAATGACTTTTGGAATAGCAGAAGTCTTGAAATTATAGCCATGCTGCCATCCATGGAGTACATTCTTTTGAAAGAAAGAAACCACACTACTTTACTGCCCACTGATTCCATGCCTAGAACCGCGGAAATAACTAAAAAGAATGAAATAAGATAACCACCATGTTTTCATTGGCTATTGCTGTCTGGGGAGTCACCATGCATTGGCTCCATTGTTGTCTCTCATGTTTACATGTTTTTCCCCCTTTTTTAAAGCTTTAGGCCAAATGTCCTACCACACACATATTTGAGGAGTACGCACATTTACATTTCCATTATCCTCTCCATGAGTCAAAAAAACAAGATAAACTTTCTTAAGTTAGTGATGAAAACTTCTCAATGGGGATTATGCTGCAGCAGGGAAAATTATGAAGATCTAAGTGATAATGAAGAATTTGAATGTTTTCATATAAGAAAAGCTTAAGGAGTCAGAATTCCTCAGAAAGTTTTTCCTTTAAATCACCATATGTTAGAGAATATGTTACAGACTTGCTTCTCTGACAACAGTTCAGCTGATCTCTCAGATGAACATTCAGATGGCACATAACTGACTGCTTCTCATTCAATGAGTGCCAGGGATATGTGTAAGTGATAACCAGGTGCTTGGTGCTTTCACTTTGTAAAATACCAGTTAAAAAAAGAATAAATACACAGAATTACAAAAATTAAGAAAACATGTTCTCTTGAATAAATAGATTCTGTCACACAGTGAAGAAAAACGACAATATTGCTTTGTGTTGACAATCAGCCATTAATTTTAGCACCTAATTAAACACAGTTCCTTAGATTCTTGCGACTTTGAGGCAGTTGAAACAATGATCATCAACTTTTGCCTAAGGAAGAGCTATACCTTAAAATGTTTTAAAAGAACTAGTGATATAATTTATATTAGGACAGGAGATGCAATAATAAACATTAGATTAATTTTTGGGGAAATTTGCTATTTTTTTCCCTAGGCTGTAACTTGTTCCTGCAAATTCTTCAAACACATTTTCTGATAAAATTTCTGTTAAAAAATATAATGGGCATAAAAAATTAAACTGCAATTTTAAAGCATCTCTAGTTTAAAACAATAACAATGTCAAAAGAATATAAGCAGCTCATTTCAGGCAAAGTTGTAATTTGGATGTATGGAAGAACTAAACAGATCTTTCACATATCTAAAGAACTCTCATATAATTCATAAAAAGAACACAACTGATTCATAAAAGGTATCCTTCATGTATATTTGAATTTTAACAGCCTAGGGTTTGGTAGATGTGACTAACTTCTCTCTTCAGATTTTCTTTCAACTGTGGTAGAAGTATGGAAAATTGTACGAATGATTCATTTGTTGTTTAATGTCCAACAAGAACCATAAAGGAAAACAGTAATTTTCTTTGAAAAAGCATATAATGCCCTGCCTAGTATCTTGGAAAACTCTTCTCTATACCCTGTCCTCAATAGAAATGATTGTGCTATTATCCAATCTTTGCAAGAGAGAGAATAAGAGTGAGAGTCAGAGAGAGAGAGAGAGAGAGAGAGAGAGAGAGAGAGAGAGAGAGAGAGAGAGAGAGAGAGAGAGAGAGAGAGAGAGAGAGAGAGAGAGAGAGAGAGAGAGAGAAAGAAAATGTGTGTTGCGGGGGGTAGTACTTTTAATCAGGTTCTTTGAATATTCTTTTACAACCTGTTAATTAACTGACAGACCTCACATCTCCCCCTGTCAGGGGTCCTCAAAATCAAGAGAGATGTGCAATGCATATCTTATAAATCTGGCACACAGAATCCACATCTGAAAGCTGTTAGGGGAAAAATGATGACTATATGCAAAAAAAGAGGGTTTATCTCTAGAAAGTTCTGTCATCCTCAGTACCAAGTTACTCTTCTTGTAGTTAGGAAATGCATTTAGAGATGAATAATAACCTCTTGAGACCAAGAGGTGATAATTTAGTCCATTATTTACAGAACAGCCTAGATGGCCATGAATATGTGATAATTACTATTAACAGACATTGAATGGAGACCCTATGGCCTATAAAAGAATTGATTGTACCCTCTTAAGTTCCTAATTCATTGACTAGAAAGTGCTTAACAATCACTTGTGCTCATGGATGTCTGGATACCCTAAACAAGAGATTTTCAACTACTCAGCAGCATGAGATCTCCAGGAATGCTGCCATTTTTCTTGTACTATGGAAACGTAATTTAGTCTAGTTTACATTCTATTGCTAAGACTATTGTTGTACCCCTAATGTCTTAGCAGGAGATCAGGTCTCTGAAGAAATAAAATCTATGCTTGATAGCTAATCAGCTAATCTTCCTACTAAGCTAATCTTGTTATTTCAGAATTGTAAATTTAATTAAATGTATAGAGCAGCCATAGAATCAAAGCAATGATTACACCTGCTGGAAAGCACATCCATGGAACTCCATGTATTTTTCAAGCAGCTTTAGCCTCCCAAATCACCTTCCTTGTTACAGAGAAGGAAAACAGCACAAGTCAGGAAACCAAAGAGGTGACAGCTATCAATAGCAATACAGAATAACTGCCTCCCTTTCTAGTGGTCAGAAGAACCTGTAGTTTTCCAATGACTGTAAACCACCATTCACAATGATACCAATAATGAGGTTTCTTTTTTTTGAATTAGGAATGGTGGACAAATCTTCGAATGGTCATTTTGTAAGATCTGAGTGGGTACATGGAAGGTCAGCCTAGACCAGAACACATTCTTCCTTGAATTCTGATAACTGGCCACAGGTTAGTATAAAAAGGCAGGAAAATTGCTAACTGCTCATCAAAATTTGTTTATGTAGACTGAATAATCACTGGATTGTAATGACCTGAAAGAAATGACAGATAAGCACCTACTAGGGATAGTGACAGCCTGGAGGAAGATTCCTTGTCCTTCTCTGTGCAACTGTTTCAACCAAGCATTTCTAAAATTTTGTACCCTAAAGTACTAGTACCGATGAGCAACATACACTTATTTTATTTATTCATTTACCCAGGTGATTCTGATCAGGAGCTCCATGTACCATTTGAAAAGTTTAATCTTTAAAGACTTACATATGTAGTTAGAGAAAGGTTAAAAAAATCAACCAACTAGCTGTAATTAACTAGCTTATGTGCTTTTTGAGTTTTTGTTCTCTTTTTTCAAGATTATAAATGAATCATAAAATGAAAATAGTTAATTTACATAATTTCTGATATTCTTTTGGACCTAGGCACAAAACAAAATGCTGTAGATATTTACATACTAAAAATAAACGCTTACAAATGCTCTACTGAATCTAGATTAATTTCTGAGAATGGCTTATACAAGCCAGTCGAGACTCTTATAATGTGGACAGGAGAGATACTTTGAAAAACACATTCATGTTCCCAGCCCTTCAGAGCCAGACAGTGTGGCCACTGTCCAAATATGTGATCTGTGTCCAAACACAAAGATTAAGGCTCTCTGTTTGAAATAATGAGTTCCCGGCTAATTAAAAAGAATTCTATAAGTACCATAACATTCTTAAAATACTGAAAAAATTCTGAATCTTCTTAAAATACTGAAAAAAGTTCTTGACTAGAAAAATAAAATAAAGCATCTGAAACTGAATTCAAGTACTTTTGTTGTAGGCCACTAGTGGAGTGCCAACCTAAGAAGTGACAAAACTCTGAAGAGACTCACAGAAGGTCTCCAATCCTATTCGTAGGCTGGAGTTGGAATCCTCAGCTGCTGAATAAGCAGCTTTCTGAAGAACAGCAAAGATTGGGATGGCAAACACATTAGCCAAGTTCCCCACCATCCCAACAGGTCCATGTTGGAGTATAAATCCTGAACCTTGGAGGAGAAAATCCTTGGGGTGAGTTGTTCAGTTTGAAGGTGAGAAGGAAAACAGCCACTCATTTAAAATTTTTCAGCAGGCAGCAAAATACAATGAACAACTGGCTCTTCTGAAAGGCAGTATTTTAGGCAAGTGATGTACATTATAGTGAATATGGTTCATTTTAAAATATTGGACATCCTTGGGAACCACCAACATTTTTATCTTCACTGTGAGAGGAAATGAACCATTTTAGGGAGGGGGATGAAATGTTTGTTTATTATTATTATTATATATGTGTGAGTGCATATCTGTGGGTACCTTATTGCTTGGGAAGGTTGGAAAATGGTCACTGCCCCTCCATTGTTTTCAATTCTCTAAAGCAATGCACAATTTGTAATTTATTATGAACTTCTGTTTTTCTTCAGATAGAGAAACATGTCCAAACTACTGACAGTATAATGTTAAAAAAAGTCTTGGCATTAAAGTCTGGTGATATCTTTGCTGTGTTGTAAATCTCCAATACTTTCATAGTCATTTTCTTTTGGAAAAGTGATGTGGTTACCATTAGCCACTGAGATGGTCTTTTCTTCATCTTTGATCAATGACTGGATCGCTTCATAATCAGGCTCTGGCTCCCCATTTGAATTGACTACTGGTGGAGGCATGGTGATGTTTGGGTTTTTCTCAAAGTCCCGTACTGTAGCATAGAGATCATTACCAGAAGATGGAGATCTCTTTGGAGCTACATCTTGAATACAGGAGTATGTGGATTCTGGCACTTTAAGAGTCTGTCCTGGCTTACTTACAGATGAGTACATTGCAGAAATCTAGAAAAGAAATCATTAGTTGAATCATCAACTGTTTTTGTATGTCTCTCCTTCCAGTCCCCCCTCATGGTCCCTTTAAGTGAATTGTTGGATACCTGACGTGTATGGGTGCTTAAGCACAACTTGGGTGCAGTGGACAGAGCTCTGGGCCTGGAGTCAGAAAAGCCCAAGTTCAAATATAGCCTCAGAAACTTACTGTGTGATTGTGGGCAAGCCACTTAACTTGTTTGCCTCAGTTTCCTCAACTGTAAAATGGGGATAATAATAGCATCTATCTCAAGGGGAGATTGTGAGAATCAAATGAGATAATAATTGTAAGGTGCTTAGCACAGTGCTCGGCACATCGTGAGTGTGATACAAATGTTAGCTTTGATTATTATTATTATTTACATATTTTGAAGATATGCTTCTTCTATTGGGTCTATTTTTTTTTTCATTTTGGTTTGTCCTTAATTTTGCTAACAAAGGAATAAAGTAGCTCATGTGATTCCTGAAGAGGGAGGGAAGGAGGGAAGGAATAAGCCTTTATTAATCACCTACTATGTGCCAGGCCCTGTGCTAAAATGCTTTATAAATATCTCATTTAATCTTCACAACAAGCTATTGATGACGGCATAAGATTAAAACTCCCTAGCCTGGCATTTAAAGCCATCCATACAACCTATCTTTCAATGACCTTCTATTATTATTTCCTATTACTCCTTTTCTCTTCTGTTCCAGTCAAACTAGCCTGCTAGGTGTTCCCCACAGAAAATATCCCGTTTGGAGGAAGTTAGATGGCACAGTGGATAGAGCACTGGCCCTGGAATCAGGAGGACCTGAGTTCAAATCTGGCCTCAGACACTTGACACTTACCAGCTGTGTGACCCTGGGCAAGTCACTTAACCCCATCGCCTAGACAAAAAAAAAAAAAAAGAAAAAAGAAAATATCCCATTTCCTATCTTTGTGCCTTTGCAAAGATGGTCTTGACAAGTCCAATCCCTATTCACCCAATCCTGGAGACCCATCAAGGCTCAATTCAGGTGCCACCTTTTCTAATCCCTGATGTTAGTGTTTGCTCCATCTTAAAATGACTTTATATTACGTTGTGTTAATAAGCTGTATCCATCCCTTCTTCCTAGCAAGAATGTAAGCCCCTCGGAGGTAGGGAATGCTTAATTTTTGTTTTGTGTCCTCAGTACCTAGCACATAATAGAAAACCATAACTAGAACACTTCTGACTGTATTGTTACCTCTACTGCACTCCTATTGTACTATTCAACTATTTTAAAGGCCTTGTGGAAGTGTTTCTGGGGTTGGGGCTTATACTGAAAATTAAAGCCAGACATGTCTGACATCCTATTGTTAACTGAATAACAGAACGAGTGTGAGTGTGTAGGTATGCACACATCCATGATGTAGGGAAAAAGAACACTGAACTGTGATCAAGAGCAGGATTACAGCCCCAGCTTGGCCACTAAAGAGCTATGTGACCTTTACTTCTCCTGGCCTCAGTTTTCAGGTCTGTAAAGTGAGTGGATTACTATAGTATATAATTGAAGGTTCCTATGATCCCACATAACGCATGTACTTTTGATATTGCTATGACTCTAGGTCTAGGGAACAGCGGTTAATGTTTCAATGAGTTCTAAAGCCATTTTCAAAACTGTTACCAAACTGACTTGAAGACTGGCCCATCCCAATTGAGAACCTAAAATGCAGAAGCTAATGTAGTAATGGTAGCTGTCCTTAATAAAATACTTTAATACTTTATAACTGTTTTATGGAATATTAAGTCATTTTATATTTCTGAAATTATATTTCTAGCCCCTTGTGAGTTTGGCACAATGGGTATTTCTATCTTCATTTTACAGATGTAGAAACTGAGCCTCTGAGTGATTTGCCTGTGGTCATGTGGCTAGCGAGTGAACAGAGAGCACTTGAACCCAGGTCTTTGTAACTCCACATCCAGCGCTTCCATGTGTCATATATTTGGTATAAAGTGATACATAATTATTTCTACTGTAGGCAAAAATGTTAAACAATGATAGAAAAGCATTTTCTTGGAAAGATAATTGTTGGAATAAGTAGAAAATATATTTTGGGCAATTAAAGCAGGCAAGCCCTGCCTCAGAAAGAGGTCATGTCCCCAAACTTCATTTTTAAGTCAGCTGTTTGAAATTCAGAATGCATTTTCCCATAGACAGAATGTCATAAATGGTGAATATTGGGTTCCTGGCTCAACCCACAAGATTCTATTTAACCCATAATGAATGGGAAGTAGCAGGATAAAGCACTATATCAAATGTCAAAGTGTTTTGACTGTATTATGGACTAAATAGAATTTGGTGGGCTAACCTGGGGGTTTTTATGACTTTGTTAAGGAGAAAATGTAAAATGGACAAGAATACTTCTCCTGTCCCCACTATCATGGCTGTCAAAAGAAGGGAATTTAGAGGCACTGGAAATTTGCGCTGCTGGTCTGCCTAGGATGTAGCAATAAGGGCAGAGAATGGTTCTTATGATACCTCTTGTTCGCTGTGGCTTTATATGAAATCTAAGTTTAGTGCAGTGGGATTCTTTTCAATTTTTTTTTGGGGGGAGGGGTAGTGGTGGTGGTGTTAGGAACCATAATTATATTGGTGTAGTATATATGGGATGCATGCATGTATATATGTACGAGATGTTAATGGTCCAAGTGTCTATAGAATCATAAAATCACAGAATGTTAGAGCTGGAAAGGACTTTGGAAATCATGTAGCCCAACTTCAGGCCCAGAGAGATAAAATGATTTTCCCTAGTTCACACAGCAAAAATATACCAGAGAAGAGCCTGAAATCCAGATTCCAGGCTCCCTTTCTCATGCCTGTTCTATTTTACCATAGTGAGAAATCCTCTCTTATTTAGACATCATTCCATTAAAAAAAAATAAGGTTTTTACATGCATGTAGACAGTTATTTTCACAAAAGAAAAAAAATCTAAATATTTATGGACAATATAGTTTATCAATTTTTCCAGCAGGAAAATAATTAACTAACTAAATTACAGGTTTCCTTAAGTTAACAGGGGGATTTATACTGTGAGGGATACTGTAACATTAGATCATTGATCTAACAGATTTGGAATTGGAAGAGACCTTAGAAGCTGTCTAGGTCAACCTCCCAATCTTACAGATAAGCAAACTGAGGCCCAGAGATGTTAAGTGAATTAGGATCAGACACGCAGAAAGTAGCAGAGCTGGGATTTGAACCCAGTTTCTTTGTCTTCAAATCAATCACCCTTTCCACTCCAATATACTTCCTCCCACAATTATTTGTAAGAGGTCTAAAATCATAACAATATCTGCTTACAAATATGTAGTGATTTATGATTACCAAATGTTTCAAATCTTGTTACAGCCTCATAATACTGTGAGGCAGGCACTGAGTTAATGCTGCTTTATATAGAAGATGAAATTAAGGTTTAAAGAGATTAAGTGATATCCAAGGCCACAGAGCTGGTAATGGCAGGACCCAGGCCAATAGCTCACAAGTCTGGTGTTCTTTTCACTACTTTATTCTTTATGACGACAGACTGCCAATGTCCAGAATGAGAAAATGCTTCTAAAATTGATTACTTCAGGTATGGGACCTAACTAAAAAAGTCCATCTTTAAACAAGTAAACCTATTTAACAAATACAATTTCTTCTTCCAGTACATTTAAAAAAGTAATATGGTATAGAAACCTTCTACATATCTATATGGAGATACATGCATATTACATATACATACATACATACACACATACATGCACACACACATTTGTGTTGTTGTTGTTCAGTCATTCATTTCTATCGTTTATATCTGACTCTTTGTAACCCTGTGGACCATACTGTCCACGGAATTTTGTTGGCAAAGATACTAGAGTGGTTTTCCATTTCCTTCTCCAGGGGATTAAGGTAAACAGAGGTTAAGTGACTTGCCGAGGGTCACACAGCTAGTAAGTGTCTGAGGCTAGATTTGAACTCAGGTCTTCCTGACTCCAGAACCAATGCTCTATCCACTGAATCACCTGTTTGCCTCCATCTAGGTATGTATATATACACAAATTGTATATTATGTCTAATATATATGCATATATCATATTACATCTATACATGTGATAGATGTATTTTATATCTATAGATATGTGTCTATAAAACATATGCATACATTATGTGAGTGTGTGTATGGTGTATGTGTGTATATATCTAGACATCTATATATTTATATTCTGTGACTGGCTTGGAGAGATATAGAAGCCTATGTTGCTGAGGGAACTTCCCTGAGATTCATTTATATGTAAATGCATCTTGATTATTGTATTATGTGTGGCTCTGGGCCTTCAGAAACCTGACCCATGTTTGAAATATCTGATTGCCCCTATCTCTTTTTGTGTCTCCTTTTTGATGTAGAGGATCTGTGATAATGAGTAAATAAGAAAGCATTAGAAAAACCAAGAGATATTCATCAACAGTAATAAAATGCTTATTTGAAAACTGCCCAAGACAGTGTAATCTTTACAGAGAATCATTACAGGTAAATTATATGTAGCTACATCTATGGAGCTTTAACTAGACTTGGGATTTAATGGTGGTTACAACACTATATGACTTGGGCAAGACATTTCACTTCTCTGTGCTCTGTTTCTTCATTTGTAAAATTATGGCATTACTCTAAATGATCTCTAGGACAGCTAGGTGGTGCAGTAGATAGAGTGTCAGGCCTGGAATCAGAAGACCTGAGTTCAAATCTGACCTCAGACACTTACTAGCTGTGTGACCCTGGGCAAGTTACTTAACCCTGTTTACCTCAGTTTCCACATCTGTAAAATGAGCTGGAGAAGGAAATAGCAAACTATTTCAGTATCTTTGCCAACAAAACTCCCAATGGGGTCAGGAAGGATCAGACACGGCTGATATAACTGAACAACAAAACAGCATCATCTAAATGATCTTTACAGTTTCAGTTCTAAAAATCTTATGATTCTAAGAAAACCAAGCATAACAGTATTATTAAGTTATAGACAAGAAAGAGCAAACAATATCCACTATTGCGTATCTTATGCCATTCTGGAAAGCAGCTAGGTGGCACAGAGTGCTGGGCCAGGAGTCAAGAAGGTGAGTTCAAATTCAGCCTCAGACACTTATTTAGCTCTGTAATTACAGGCAAGTCATTTAACCTCTCTTTGCCTCAGTTTTCCAACTGTGAAATGGGATAAAAATGGTGCCTACCCCTCCCCCCCAGGTTGTTTTGAGGATCAAATGTGATTATAATTGCAAAGAAATTAGCACTGTGCCTGGCACATTATAAGCACTATGTAAATGTTAGCTATTATAATAATAATTATTATTATTATTCTGTGTTAGTTCCTTTTAATTTGATTTCAAAAGTCGTATGCTATACAGTTTAAAGAATTATCTGTCTGTCTCTGGCACTCTTAGAAAGATATACATATCCAGGAAATTCCCTATGGTAATAGCAAGCTGCCATCCAACGAAATATAGTCAATCACATCCTTAGAATTGTCTACCATGAATATCAACAGTAACTTAATTTCCTTTGGTAACAAGGGAATAGAAGCTCTGTACTGATTAAAAATTGCTTCAGGTATTATGAGTCATGGTTGGACGGAAGTCAAAATATCCTTGATTACCTGGCATTCTTTTTTGACATAGTAATTCATCCATTTCAAAAAAATCTAGAAAAGAAATGAGCATGTTTTTCTGACAGATGCTCAGCTTCCCAACTGCCAAGGGATATTTTCTTCCCCTCCACATATCTCACATACTGTGGATAAAATTTCCAGCTGGTCTAAGAGCCTTCTTAATGTGGGCTTGCTATTTGTTTATTGGTCATTGGCATAAGCACAGTTAATTTCTATCGGCAGTGTTGCCTCTATACTCCTTGTCTACCCAGTGTATAAGCGTCAGAGAAATCTGGGAATGCACCTATAAAATTCATAACTATATGTGTGACCTGGCAATTCTTTTTATGTCTCTGGGGTCTGTTGCTTCATCTGTAAAATGCAGGGCCTGTATCAGATGAACTCTAATGGCCCTTACATTCCCCAAATCCTATGATTTGATATCATTTTCTCCACCTCTAACCCCACCCCCACAAAAAAAATTAACACGGCATATCTGTAGAATATTTTGCTCTTAAAATAACAACTGAAATTTATATATCCCTGATATATAAAATGATATCTATATCTTAAAGTTGGCAAATGCTTTACATTTACTATGTTTTTCTGAAGGGTAAGAATTATAATGTAATAATATCTTTGGGAATCTTGGAAGAAAGTGCTACTACTTACAAGGTATTTTCTTTACAACAACCCTGTGATTTGGGTAGTGCAAGTAGTAGTATTCTCATTTTACAGATGAAAATATAGAGTTCATCTGAACTGCTAGACAACAGTTCATCTGACAAATGCATGGAGGTTTTATTGGTCTACAAGCTCTGTATAACTTAAGATTGTGACAGGTTAGCAAAAAGAAAAAAAAAGAAGCATAGTGTCCAGGAACATGGAGGTAAAAAGTAATATGGCCACCACATTTTAGGAAGGTCACTGTTAAATGAGAAAGCAGCCAGAAGAGAAGATGGTTCAAGACCTATGAGGATCAACTGAAGAAACAGGAGATATTTAACTTGGAGAAAAGAAAATTTAGTGGGGCATGATAACTGCCCTCATGTATTTGAATGACAGTCGTATGTTCTGTCTGGCCCTAAAGGGGAGAATGAGCAACAATGGGAAGGAAGTTGCAGAGAAGCAAAATTAGGCTTAATGTAAAGAAAAAACCTTCTAACAGTCAGAATGATCAAAAAGTGCAAGCGGCAGCCTTCAGAGGGAGTGGATTTCTCCTCACTGGACATTCTGGAGTGAAGTCTGGATGACCACTTTTGGGGTTTGGCTTAGAGGGGAATACTGGCAGGTATGGGTGAGACTGGATATATGAGATTCTGCAATTATGTCATACATCAAAAAATTTTTTTAGATGAATTCATGGGTTAGATGCATGACGGGTTGTTGAGTGAAACGAGGAAGCCAATGGAGTATTCTAAGCTTTAAGAAAATCATTTTGGCAGCTAAGATCATCAGATCTCTATGGATGCTCTTTAGAGCACCTGCTGGTTCTTCTGCCTTTCTTGGACAAAGGGATCTGGATCAGGTTTTCTAGCATGTCAAACTTCCACTGGCACAGGTTGGGTCCAAATGTCATTGGCTTAGCCAAGCCAGGAGGAAAGCATTTTGCTTGCCTGTTAGAACACATTTTATAGGGAGAAATCTCCAATATACTTCCTTCCCCCTCCTTTCCTTTCATTTGTTGCCTGAGTTCATTTTAGCCACGTTTCTGATAAGTACATTCCTTGTTATATTATGAGTTACTATTTAGCTTTATATCTTTATTTTTTTCTCTATAGTCAACTTTCCTAATGCTTTGTCATAATGACAATATGATTTTGATGTCTAAGTGAGATTGCTCCTGCTTTAATCTAAATCCATATTTTTTGGTTTAGTTTTTCCACTTTCCAGGAGAAAAATGTTTCTGTGTTCTCATTAGAAAACAAAATACACACAAAGAGGATCATTGTTGTTAACTTCTGACCTGTCCCTTTTTTCTATGTAATTTTGAGATTTCAGTGACAATAATCGGACATAATCCAATAAGCATCCAAAAATGCTAACATTATTTCTTGGTTTAACATCTGCCTCCCAATAACACCTAAGCACACACAATGCAGCAATGGAAAACAGGAGAAAGCTGTGCTCATAATGTGCTCAACAGGGAGCATTAGTTTGGATTTTTGTAATAATGATATTTTATATTTCTTTAGTGTTTTAATATTTGTAAAGCACTTTATTTTTTATAAATCAAATTTGATCTTTTTTAACAATCCCCTAAGAAAACTGAGGCTCTGAGATGTTAAGTGACTTTCTTATGGTTATTTAAGCCAGGGTCAAATCCAGGTCTTCCTGACTCCAAGGTCCAAGACTCTTTCTTGTTACACCTTCACCTAAAAGGCTTTTGACCAACCCTTGCTTGGTTGGGGCTATTGCAACATTCTGGGGAATTGATTACTGGTGGTTGGGGACAAAGCAGTCTCAGAAAAAACAACAAAAGCAATTATAAAAAGTTATAATGAGTGCTGAGTGACAAAAAGGAAATAAAAGCTGCAGCACCAAGATCTAAAAGGCTCAGGGGAGTGAGGGAGCCAGCTCCTTTACTTTTTCAGTCCTTTGCCAGTGGAAACCTCTCTCCCTGACCTCAATGACTCCTGCCCTGCACCTTCTGCAATGTAGACAATTCCATCCCCAGGTCTCTTCTCCTCTGGTTCATCTGGTGTTGTGTCACTGAGCATCAAGTGGGGAGTGGGAAGCAGCAGCTCTTACTGTCCTTCTACCACCTCCTCTCCCAAACTCAAGACTGCTAAGCCTGTTCTCTCTCCCTAGAAGCTGTGCCAATGACTGATTTGAAAGTGGAACTCAGTGAATGGAAGTAGGTCAAGGGCATATGTGGATAAAGGTTGCCAAAGATGTCTATAAAGTCTGGGTTACAGCAAGACCTCACTGTGATGAAGGTGCCTTTCTAGCCCTCTTGTTGTAATGCTATCAACTGAGGGGACAACACCCAGAGGAGAAAACCACGGCTGACACACAGTAGGTGCTTAATAAGTGCTTACTGACTGACTGACTACTCCTTGATGTGATCTGCAAGTTATTCATCCTTCTCATAAGCTTGGGTATTCCTCTAAGACATTCATTTATTCCTTTTCTTTACTCTCTCTGCATTCTCTTCCATGATGACTTCATCCACTCCCATGATTCAGTTATCACCTATATGTTTTATCATTTGCAAGAGGATTATACTTGTTTGTTGGACCCCAGATGGCAGAACTAAAAATGGTTAGAAGTTGCAAGGAAGGAAATTAAGTTTTGTTATAAAGAAAAATGTCCGAACAATTAGAGCTGCCTCTGGAGGTCATGAAGACCCTTTTCTTGGACATCTTCAAGGAAAAATTTGATGACCACTTTTAGGGTATGTTATAGAAGGGATGTTTGTTCTGGACCATCCCTACAGTCCCTTCTAACTCTGGGATTTAGTGATTCTGAGTCAGAGGATCAGGGTTTAAACCCTGACTCTGCTAATACCTAACACATCATTTAGTCTTTTGGGGCCTAAGTTTCATTGTCAGAAAAATGAGTGAAAAATCTTAGCGGTCACCTAGTCTTCCATGAAACAAATATGCTCTGTATAACATCAAAATATGCGGCCATGAAATTAATGATGACCTCTACTTTTCTCCCTGACCTCTTCCAGCCTATGCTTTAGAGCAGCGGTGTCAAACTCTGATGGAAATGGTCACTAAACTGTACATAAGGATCCGTGCAGGACACATATTGATGAAGAAAACCATATATTAACAGAGAAAACCATATATTAACATAATCTATGTTCTACTGCATTTTATTTATTTTGTTAAATATTTCCCAATTACATTTTAATCTGGTACTGACTTGCTGGGCCACAATGTGGGCAGTATGTTTGACACCTTGGCTATATTTTATATTTGATTCTATTGATCCTTTCCAATGCCTGCCTTCCAGGCTGATTCTTTTATGTCACTAACCCTGTTCCAGCTAGGAATCTGATCCCTATTTCCCTGATTCTTTCTTGTCTTGTCACTTGTCGGTCACTCTCGGTCATGGTAAGATGTTCAACCCCAAAGCCATCTTACTATTAACATCCTTAAGATGACATTTTGCCTATAGTAGATTAAAAAAAAAATGACAAGGCATGCACTTGGAGAGAGTAGGCACTTGTCTATCCCAGGGATTTATAATTAGTGAGGCTGTATTATGCTAATCTCTCATGGGGGTGTAGGGGAATATCTAGGGCTTTTAGTTGTTCAAAGCTTCAAACAGTGCCTGGCTCCTCTCAGTTATCTAACATGTTTGTGGAGTGAATGGTTGCAGAAACCTACCTCTTCTTCTGTAAGAGTTGGGTCTTCCTCTCGAGATCTGTAAGACAGCGAACTAAGTCTCTGTTAGAGAGAAAAGATACATATCAGCATGAAATACTGTGAAACCTACACTTCAGTCTTCCCTTTGCATAAGCAGCAGGATATCTTGCTCATAAAAATTCCTTTCACATTATTACAACAGCTTTTCAGATAAGCTACCATAAGGGCTTTGGGATTGGGTTTGATAACTTGATGCTGAGCAATAACTTCTAATATAAAGGGATGTAAAGAAATTGAGCACTTCAGTAACTATCTGGCCTCTTAATTAATCTGCTCAGGTGATAGCTAGCAAAATTTTGTTCATGCTTTTATATGATAATGAGCTAAAATAATCCAATAAATTAAAGAGGATATTGTTTCAATTACATCGTGGTAAGTGTTGCTGAAGGGAATAATCTTCTAAAAATGCAGTATTTCTTTAATAATCTTACAGAATTTGCATATCAGCTTCTACAATTCAGGAAAATTATTAAGCCATTTGGAATCTTTTCCTAAACCCATGGATACAGAAATCATCTTATCTGTGTCTGTGACCGCACTGTAAGGGACCACATGCTGACCTATTAGGAATCCTTGACTCATAAGTATGGTTGGACTGTTCTCGAAAGACAACCAGGCATCACAAGTCTCATCTGGAAGGACTGGATAGATAACTTCATTCCTTTATAGTGAAGACCAGAATACAGATGAAACCTGGGACAACTAGGTGGCACAATGGATAGAGTGCCAGGCCTGGAGCTAAGAAGACTCATCTTCCTGAGTTCAAATCTGGCCTTGGACACTTAACTAGCTGTGTTACCCTGGGCAAGTCACTTAACCCTGTTTGCCTCAGTTTCTCATCTGTAAAATGAGCTGGAGAAGGAAATGGCAAACCACTCTAGTATCTTTGCCCAGAAAACCCCAAATGGGATCACAAAGAGTTGGATATGACTGAAAAGACTGAACAATGATAAGGTAAGAGGAATGGGCCAGGTATTAAACAGAGGCTTTAAGTAAAACAAACATTAAAAAAAAGTAACAATTGTAACTAAAAGCAGAACTGTTTCTGTTTACAGGGTAGAAAACACTACTGGATTTTCCAGACTGTTTTTGTCTGATCTCTATCCATGTGTCTTACTGTAGAAGAGAATACCACTACATGACAGTTTTATTTTAATAATAGTTGACATTTATATTGCATATTTCAGTCTACAAAGTACTCTATAGATATTATATCAAATCATTCTCATGACAATCCCCTGTTTTATGTAGTACAAGTATTATTATCCTCATTTAGCTGATAAGGATATCGAGGCAGAGAGGATCAAAGACCATAAATATGAGATCAATCATGTAGGGGAAGACAAGAGATATTAGAGGATTCTGGGTTACAGGGGGCTGTTAGTGCTATAGGGACAATATCATCTTGGGCAAAGCAATAACTAAACCTGAGCCTCAGTTTTCTTACCTTTAAATGGGGTGAATAGTTTTCAATGCTACCTACCTTGGCAGGTTGTCTCAAGGCTAAATGAGAATGTATTAAAGGACATTGTTTGGTGCAATATTATCCAGCACGTGTATGTGTATGGACATACCAGGTTGATGTGAGGACAGAAGCAAAGCAAGAATGGGAGGTTCATATATTTCATGGGATTTTTGTCAAAGGACACCATCTAATGAATTTCATGAGGTTGGGGTAAAAATATCTAGATGAATAAATAGATGAAAGAAAAATGACTTTTATGTTATTTCAAGAAGTGACTAAAAAGCCACATACTTGTAACAAAAATTAGGGCCTGTCACAGTAGAGGACTTTTTGATTTGTACAGTTAAAATCAGTTATTTAATGAACTGCAGTTTGTATTGGCTAGAAAAATAAAATTTATCAGATAATGGCTGACAATGTATAGCACTTCATGATTTTCAAAAGATTTAGCCTAAAAATCAATGACTATTTTTGACTACAATGTGGGTACAGGGCTTCAGAACAGGTCAGGCCTGTGTTTCAATGCATTATGCATGTACTTAGAAATAAACATTGGGAAGATAGGATAAAGCTGTAGCTTGGAAAGACTTTGATTCTGAAGACATTTTAATTAGATGAACACCTTTTCTGTGGCACTTGGGGGACTGCATCTGTCATCATCTGATTAATTCTTCAGAGCCTTAACCATTTCTGTCAATTCACAGTCCCTGAAGACAGAGTTTCATATCATGTGTGTCTATTAGACAGATATGTGGAGAGTTAAACACAAAGGAATAAATTTCTTGGTACCAATGATTAGGAAAGATTTTTTTAAGCTTTCTTACAACAAGCAAGAAGACAGTGCACTTGAGTTTGTGTTTACACTTATGAGTATACTCGCTCTCCCTTCTTTCCTCTCTCCTGGAAAGGGCCAATTGTGATTACATGCTGTTTTTTCACTGCCTTTAAAGACACTATCCCTGGCTCTGGGATGTTCAACATTTTTATCAATAACTTGGACAAAGAGATGGTATGCTTGTAATATCTTCAAATGACATCAAATGGCAGAGGACAGGTGATGCACTGGATGCCTGGGTCAAAAGCCAAAAAGATCTCAACAGGAAGAATTATGGGGTGAATCAAATAAAATGAAATTTAAAATGAAAAAATATAAAGTTAAACACTTGGGTTAAAAAAATCTACTTTCACAAGTACAAGATGAGGTGCAGCAATTCTTTGGGAAAATATAATGGGAGGCTTTAGTACCTGGCCCAGTATGGTGCTTAATAAATATTGATTATTGTTTGATTTTAGGGGATTGCAAACTTAATATGAATCAAAGTAGCAGTAGGAACGTCATATAAGGTAATGCTGCCCTATACAACACAAAAAGAGGCACAATGGGCCTCTGTTCTTGTCGGACTGCCTCTGGAATCCACTGTCCATTTCTGGGCACCATATTTAAGACAGAGATAGACCAGCCGAGGCATGTTCAGAAGAGGGCAATAATGAATGACAGGACAGTGAGAGGGCTGGAGACTATACAAGGAATGGTTTTGAAGGAACTGGGGATGGTTAGCTTGGAGAAGAGAAGAATGAGGGCAGATAGGAGAGCCGTCTTTAAGAAAGTGAAGAGCTCTCATACTGAAGAGAGATTAGCCTTAATCTGTTTGTCCCTACTTTGCAGAACCAGGAGCAATGGGTGCAAATTGTAAAGAAGCCTTGTGGTAGGTTCTCTTTCACTGGAAGATTTCGAGAGACTGAATCACCAGCTGGTTGGTATGTTGTAGAAAGGATTATGGTTCAGGTACATCTTTCTTTTGAGTTCCTCTCAAACTCTTAAGATTCTGTGTATCATGGGAAGTTGTTTTTTTTTAATAATATTTTATTTTTTTCCCAATTGCGTGTAAAAATAATTTTTTAAACAATTTAAAAAAAAAATTTTGAGTTCCAAAGTCTCTCCCTCTCTTTCTCCTCCATGAGATGGTAAGCAATCTGGCAAAGGCTATATATGTGCAATCATGCAAAACACATCTCCATGTTAGTCATGTTGTAAAAACACAGGATCATCCCCTGCCCACCAAAAAAAGAAAAAAAAAGTGAAAAATAGTATGCTTCAATCTGCATTCAGTCTTCATCAGTCTTTCTCTAGAAGTGGATAGCATTTTTCATTAGGAGTCTTTTGGAATTGTCTTGCATCATTCTATTGCTGAGAAAAGCTAAGTTATTCACAGTTGATCATCATGCAATATTGCTGTTCCTGTGTACACTGTTCTCCTGGTTCTGATCACTTCACTTTGCATAAATTTATGTAAGTCTTGCCAGGTTTTCATGGAAAAAGTTCTTAATCTACATTTTGGGAAAATGTCTACGGCCCCCCAAATTTATTTAAATAAGTAAATAAATATGAATGTTACACATTTAAAATCCTAGTTCTACTTTGTTGCCTCATATCAACTTCGACATCATCCTAGGTTCTCAAAATCATGCCCTCTGACTGTAGGCGTCCTTTAGGCTCTTTCCTGAGCCCTCTTTTCTTATCCTTCTATGCTACTTCATTTGGCGATCTCATCGGCTTCCATGGATTGAATGATCATCTCCAGGCTGATGATTCTCAAATCTACCTTTCTTGGGCCAATCTCTTTGCTGACCTCCAATCTCACATCTCCAACTGCCTTTCAGACATCTGGATATCCAGTAGACATCTTAAACTTAGTATGTCCAAAACAGAACTTGTTATCTTTCACCCCAAACCCCCCTCTCTCTCCTCTCCCACCACCCCACCACTACCTTCCTTACTACTGTAGAGGGTAACACCCTCTTCCCAGTCTCTCAGGTTCACAATCTAGGCGTCATCCTGGACTCCTCACTATCAAACCCCTTTTCCCCATGCCCCATATCCAATCTGTTGTCAATTTCACCTTTGCAACATCTCTCAAATATACCCAGTTTTTTCTATGACACTGCCATGACTCTAGGACAGGCCCTCATCACCTCATACCTGGACTATTGCAAGAGCCTGCTGGTAAATCTACCTGTCTTGTCTTTCCCCACTCCAATCTGTTCTCCATTCAGCCACCAAAGTGATTTCACTAAAGTATAAGTCCAATTATATCATCCACCTCCCCACTCAATAAACTCCAGATGCTTTCTATAGCCTTCAGAAGCAAATACAAAATGTTCTATTTGGCATTCAAAGACCTTCATAACCTTGACCCTTCCTATTCTTCTTACTCCCCAATCTGTCCAATGACAGTGGTCCCTTAGCTGTTTCATGAATAAGATATTCCATCTCTTGACTTTGGGCATTTTCTCTGGCTGTCTCCCATGCCTGGAATGCCCATCTGCTCTGACTGCTGACCTTCCTGGCTTCCTTTACACCCCAACTAAAATCCTACTTCCTATAGGGAGCTTTCCCTAACTCCTCTATTTCCCTATTCCCTAACCCTTTCCTATTTATTCTGTATATAGCTTACTTTGTATATATTTATTTGTTTGCTGTCTTCCTCATTAGAGTAGAAGCTTCTTGAGGGGAGTGATGGATTTTCCGAATCTTTTTGGATCCCCAGTGCTTAGC